AATTAGGTCCATTGCGGTCCAACGATTTAAAATTTGAAAAATTCATTTACTCATATTCTGATTGGGATAAGAAAGTTCTGCTCAAATTGACCCCACGATTTACTAAAGAGTAATGATATTCATCCCCACTGGGAATGTAAATACAGTCTATGTGGCATCAATGTGGCATTAAATGATAGATAAATTAAATAAGTTATTTAATTTCATCTTTCTTTTAACCTATCGTTTAAAGTCACATAAACTGTGTATTCATCTCCACTTGGGATGAATAATATTACTCTTTGCTAAACATGCTCTCCTCTCTCCACTCATGTCTCGCTTAAGAACTTTCCCTCTTATCTCTTTCATCTCTCCCCATTTTAGAAATTAATTACAAGCAAATATCTCAAAGAAAAGTAATAATTCTAGTGAATGCATTGCCTTTTATACATGGCTTTGGATGGGCACATGCTTAATCATCTACTCCTACAAATCTTTTATTTTATTCCCTCTTTATCTATTCTTCGAGAAAAGAACACTAAAGATACTCAACTATTTGTTGATTTTCAAAATATGAATTTGTTATCCCAACATTAACCTGTTATCTATGGAGCAAATAGATTACATTTCGTATTTGTGTTAGAAGACAGCTAAAATGATCCTACTATTTGTGCAAGACCTGTTTGTCCAAGGCCCATGTGCCCTAGACGAGCAGAACTCTCCCAACTAAAATAATTGAATACATTTACAGATGAGTTGTGTGCTGTCCCCATTACTATTATTGAGATTGCTAAATTCTTCGAAAGCAAATTTCAAAATGCTTTCAAGACCTTTTACCTTCTTCTCTTAATGCCTAATCTGATACGAATGAACGCACTTTGTGAAATTGGTCAAAATATCCCTCTTTGCAAATTCTTAATGGGTTTCCAAACTGTGTTAAACTGGTAGTTTGGAACGATAAATTTGGAAGGTTGAATTATTCTTAATCTATATAGCTTTATTTGCTTCAACTTTGCATTACAATTTGCACATGAAAAAGAGCCCACAAAATTACAACATCAATCTGCAAACTAAACTCCTAAGGATCTTCAACGCCAAGATATACTGTTTCGCGCGGGTTCGCTCG